AATGCATTTTCGACCTTCCTGCACAAAAACCGACAACTCTGTTGCTTGTTCGCCTCCCAGATTTTGTCAGCATTGTGCATGGTCGTGGTCGCCGTGGTCGGTGTTCTCATGAAGGAGGGCACAAGCCCCTGCGTGGTCGCACTGTAGAAGGCCATTTTCAGACGGCGAGGGGCGAAGATTTACCCGCCGCAAATGAACAATGCACTGGCCATTGCCGTAGGTCGCTTTTTGGCTGATCGCAATCTTACAGGATCATATCAGCTGGCGGCGCAATTGGCCGAATTAAATAGCACGGAACTCATGGGTCAGGATATCGTACAGCCTGACTTTCATGGGTGAACTTTGCATGGCGGCAAAGACCAAGCACGACTCGTGCAGTAACAGCAAAGTGACAAAAAGATCTCATTGGGATAAATGATAATTCACCAAAGTTCAGCAACCCCCCCAAAAAAAGACATGGGACAGTCATACATACATATATAATATACATTTTTTAAAAAAAAAACATCATTATATCATTATTCTGTTGTGAGTTATGCCCCGGCCCAGGATGTTGGCACGTTCTTCATGGCGTTTTCCCACAACGCGCCAAGCATCTGAGACCATATTCAAGAGCGTCACTTTGCTCATGGGCATTGCCTCCGAAAATGCTGCAGATCACGGATGTGGGATTTCGGCGGAAAATGCTGGAGTTTTTGCCACCAAAAATGGATGGCTCAGATGATTTGAACCAACAAAAACAATCAAAAACATTGATATATGAACTATGCATGATCAATGACAACGGTAGACTGACCATACTGGTTCAGTATGGTTAAGTTGGTTATCAGCCAGTTCAACTGTTACGAAGCCCTGTTTGGTGTGGTTACAGCATGTCCCAAACCCCCATCTAAAACCGAATGGAGGACCCCATCACCCGGCCAGCCTCACGCTGCTTGCTGTAGGCGTGTTCCGCAAACTTGGTCACACGCAAGGCCAACTGCCGAGGAACCTCTCAGTGGGCGTTGTGACGTGAGAATGCAGCGTGCAACAAAAATTATGCAGTAACAGGGATCATAATTTATAATCAACAAATATCAGCAGTAATTACCTCAGACATCCTCAGACCTTCAATCCATTGAAAGACTATGAACAAATGCTGCTGGTATTGTGCGGTCTATGTAGACAAAACGCCGAACCTGGGGAGGCGGACAAGCAACGAGTAGCAAAACCACCACCCAACAGCTCTCCCAGGCCAACCCACATTTCCCCCTGGTGACCGCCAGATATCTCCCTCTGAAAGTGCAGTGGCCAGGAAGGGATCAACATACCACCAAGCCAATCAGAAGCTCAACAGCAATTACATGCAATTACTGATTCATTTCAGTTCAATTCAAGCCACAATAGACTCGTGGCCAAAATGATGGAATTACAACCAAACTCCTTCCATAAATGGTCGATGAGTGGTGGTGCTACCAATTGAACTAGCCCATTTTTTTTGTCGTGAAATCCATCCAGATCCAATTTGACTAAACCCAATCTGGGATCCCAGTTGAATCTGCATAAACCCATGGAAAAAACACATCTCTTCACCCAAATCAAAAACATTCAAAACCCCCAGCAGATCCTCCATGATTTTTGCAGCCAGGACGCCTTGTGCATCCGCATGAAGTTCCGGAGCTTCCGGAACTCCTTGGAGGACGTCTCCGACATGTTCCGCAGCCTGCGTCAGGTGGACAGGCCCCGTGCCATCCATTGATGCAAGTCCGGCAGGAGTCCCAAATGCTTGAGCGACATGAACCCACTAGATACAAGGTATATTGGGGATGCCGTTCAAATGTTCATGTTCGTTTTATTTTTATGGTGGTTGCAGTACCAGATCCTCCACCATCCCTTGCAGTAGGTCGAAAAAAAGGCGACCGAGGAGCTGGGTGAGGCAACTACTGATGTCGCCAACAACGTAGGAGAAGCCCACCAGGGCAAAAATCACCACGCTGATGGCGTAACCGCCTCAGGTCAGGATCCGCAGGTGGAGAAATGAAATGCAGGCATGAGAAAAGAAAAACATGTGGGTGGAGTCTCTCTTGGACTTTCTTTGGAGTTTGGAGTTGGAAGCGAAAGAAAAAAGAGCAAATCGCCAAGGCAAGAGTGAAGTCAATTTTCATCGCTGTGACCAGATGCCCCAATTTTCCGTAAACTATGCATGAAAGAAACTCTCAAGTAAGGCCAAACCAGGCTTTGCAGTTTCTATCCTTAACTAGCAACCTTTAGAGTAACATCCTCAGTACATCAGCTAAAGTTTCCTGATGTGGGGTTTACACTCATTTTTTTGCGCAGGCTAGCCATTTGGGGTACCTGAACGTGGCTATACAATCTTAGAATCTTATATAAATAGATATCCATCAAAACCAGGGTAGCCTGTGTCAGGGGGGCTGCTTTTCAACCAAATAATTACTGGGAAACACCCAACATGATCCAACCAAAACATCTCATTTCAGCCGGGCATTCTTTGTCTTCAGCAAGCATATAGCAAAACATATCAACCCACAAATTTCCCGTTCCCAACCATTCACCCAACTTTTTATCCAGTTGTCAACCCCGCCAACAGCCCTGGCGTTTTACCCCAAGGTACGTTCCAACATGTTCTGCGGCTGCACGTCCATGGCCGCCGGAGTGAACTGCGTCAAGGACCAGTGCAAGGCCACCTGAGGGCAGTGGGACAAACGTATGGGGTTGGGTTCAGGATGTTGGAAAGGGTGAAATCATTTACTTATTCTACTGGTACACCCCAAAAAATAAAAGCACAGCACCACCTAGAAACCAGAGGTTCAGTAGTGGATCTAGTTATGTTTGGGCCCCGTGTATGGGAAGTTGTCATCATTGGGGTGTGGGATCGAACATGTGATTACCAATATATATGGCTTGAACGAGTTCTAAGTTCTATAAGAAAATCGTTAGAGCATCTGCGAATGTCTGAGCGGGGAATGGGATTTCTCTATTTAACAGGGAGGGCTGGGGACACAGCAGCCGTCACTTTGCTCCGCACTGTGACCGACAACAAAACATAACATAATACAGAGCTTGACGATGCTTGACGTGCCATGAATACAAATCAGTTGGTCAACACAAGACAAACCATGGTTCTTCATGATTATCACACGCCTTATATCCTTCTCCAAATCTCCTTTGAAATACCGTAACCACTCAGAAAATATAATATGAACATGTTATACATCCACTCACTCTAGGATGTATAGGGAGATATACCATGACACAAACCATCACCTTCACCCCCTCCCCGACCCAATTGCCAGGTGGCCATGTAGCTGTCCCTCCAATCTGCATTGGGCGACATATACTCCGCCGTCCATGTCTTCTCATAGGTACCCACTGTGGTGGTGGCGAAAAAGACACAGGCCTCAGGGCCGTGAAGGGCGTGCATTGTTCCAAAATCCATGGGATCATCTTGCGCAAATATGCATGGATATGCTTGGATCATGGCAACTCATATGCACATTCTACAAAAAAGCCACGCGTCGTATAAAAAAATATACACACCCTCAACCAAATTAACAAACTATAATAATAGAACAGTAACTCCTGCCAACTGCAATAGTTTTTAATCTATCTCTAATAAGGGGGTTACTATTGGCACACCCCAGCGGCCAAACCCTTGGCATTGGCCTCCCCAGATCCAAGGTACGATCACGTGATTCAAGTACAACAGGATCGCCATCATCTGCGCCACACGCGCAACGATGGTGGTGTAGTCCGACATGGGGATGGCGTCACCTGCCGACATGTCATTGATGCCAATGGCCCACTGGCTGGGCTGATGCACAATGTCACATTGGAGTTGCAAAATGGTTCAGACATAGCAATTGCATCCAATTGCAACCAGGAGAAAACCTTGGAAGTGCTGATGTTTGCTCCAAAATCAACTGTCCCTGTCCATTCACCTTGCCATTATTACCTAAATATACGGTCTGTCTAAGTATCCAGTCCTACAAGGTCACATTCAAGCACAAACCCCACCCACGGCAATCATCCAAATGAATCCAGGCACCTATGGTCTCCAAAAGCCATTTGACTTTCAACAAACCTGGGCGCTGGCAAGGTTTGTCCAGGCCATACGGGCAGCCTATGGGTGTATCTGCATGACCTTGGAAACCCATCCGAAAAGAAATCGTTTTAGGCTGAACATTTAATTTGTTTTGCTAGATACGATTCAATGTGTACCATTGTGCATTGCACGACATTATATCATCCAAGTAAATACTAAGATCTAATTTAATGTTATCCATTTCACAAACTTTTTCTTGTCACCTCCATCTCCACCCTCATTCCTCTGCACCAAGTCACGTAGTAGCCGTGCCACCCGCACCACACGGAAGACGCGCAGCAGCCGCATGTTCTCCCCGGCACCCGAGGTGTCCCCGTTCCTGGGTGGCATGGGTTGTCAGCTCGGTGCCGTGCCGTGCCCATACCGTAGACGATCATTGGTGAAAGAATTCAAACCACCGTTCAAACATATGCAAACTTTAATTCAATCTGTTTGTATCTGTTTGTGCCGTTTTGATTCCAGCAAACTGTGGCATTCCTACTATCCCATGAGCTTCCCACACACTTTCTATACTAGTCTGGGTTCGTGTGGCATTATTATGATGTGATACTGGAATTTTGTTCTGGGAATAGAGCGGGGACATGACGGAGGGAACCGTGCAAGTTCCATTCAAGTACGGTTGATCCCTACCCCGGGATGATCCCTGAAGATTGCTCTAACCCCATTGAATCGCAAATTCTTCCTAAATTGAGGGTAACTGATGTCTCATTTTGCAGAAGCAGAGTGTGGACCAGTTGTGAACTCACTGCCCAATAAACTCTCGTAGTTAGGATGGCAAAATCACATTCTATTTTTGTTCAGGTGCCATCGTCACACAGGCTATAGGGAAAGGAGACGGGAAGGCTATGCAGACAGAATCCTGGTGGATTTAAAACACACACCCACAGAGATGTCCACATTTTTCGCCAAGGTTGGTCATTGTTAACTGCCTGTACAGCGACCTACGCTGTTGTAGAGTTGGAGTTGCTTTGCTCCAAAGCTTTGCTCTTGACGACAAGCGTGGTCTGGCCCAAAGACAAGCTGCACTCTGCAACATGAGGCCCTTGAAAATTTCCAGGCTGGCCCTGCTGCCACTGGTTAAAAAACATTTCGCTAATGGGATGTTCAATGCTGAGAATTACACCAGTCCAGCAGCCTTCCTTCTTAGTTTCCTATCCTTCTGCAGTAGGGAGAAGTCGATTGGGCGCCACTCTTCGCCGGGCAGCAGCTTATTGTCAGGTACGTCTGCCAACCAAAATTCATAACCGCCAGCTTGCTTGATCAGTCCCCGGGCGCAAGCAGAGACAGAACTGCTGTTTAAGCCAAGTGCATTTGCAGCTTTGTTCATCGATGCATGCCACTCCCATCCATCTTCACGTCCACAAGCTCTGCTCCAAACAGGTTTGGCTGTTGACTTGGGTGTTGTTGACTTGCCACCAGCACGTGCAAAATAATGAGATACATTTTCAGCTTGAGTTGTGTACTCTAGGTTTTCAACGGCATTGTTGCCCTTGTTTCCATCCTTGTGATTTACAATACACTGTTCAGGTGTTGGCGACGGCCCGATGAAAGCAGCCGCCACAAGGCGATGGACTAAAGGCCATCTTCTTGTGCCATTCCTTTCACGCATGCTTGTTTGAAAATAGCCGGATTGGAACCGGCTGCCATAATATGTGAAGCCGTTTTTAAGCCTCACCCGACCGAGAGAACTCACCATCCTCCCAGGTACGGGGGTGCCAGTGGCTGGATCAAGCATACTTCGCCATTGCTCCCCTTCTAAGGCGGACTCCAGCACCTTCTCAAATCTAAATTCAAAGCCTTTTGCTGAGGACCTCTGGGTGCAACATCTTGAGATAGTGGACACTGCCATGCCAAGCTGTTCTGCCGCTCTTGTGACGGAAGCATACCGTTGCCAAATTTCTGAGCCAACAGGTCTCCATAGAACAGGCTTCGAGATCTTGGATCTGCCACAGCCTCGTGAAGGGTCGGCATGAGAATGCTTCACGTTTACGGAGTTGCTGACAAACTCAAGATTTTCCAAACGGTTGTTTGCCTTATTTCCATCCCGGTGGTGCACCTGCCATGCACCATCGTTTCCTGGAAGGCCATGGAAGGTCAATTTCACAACACGATGCACGTACCACTGCTGCTCAGTCAATTGGACTCTTCTGTAGCCTGATGCATGCAAGGATCCAAGACCAATCATCCCCCTTGAATTACAGCATCTTCCATACGAACTGACCTGCCAGGTGCCCTTTGCAAGCGGAAGCGTTTGGGCTGACATGGGCCGACATGTGATCGGCAGGGGCCTGCACCAGGCTGACTTGATAGCCCGCAGCATGGCACACCTGTTCCAGGCTGATCATTTGAGATTCACAGGGCTGGCTGCGGCAAACATCTTGCGACATCTGGCGCCTTGGAGGCTCGGCTATTTGGAACAAACTATTTGGAACCACCAGCCTGCTGTTGTAGCGTCCTTTATCAATCTGAAAGGATGCTGGCATTTTGGCCCCATGTCTTGCCATTGAGGCCATTTCCTGCTATGACATCACTGATTTTATCCCATTATACCGGTTGGTAAATGGGTATCCTTTTCTGGGTTCTGTCACAGCTCCCAATAATAAACCCTATAAGTGAAAAAACAAAAACATATTTCATAACCAATCAAAAGGGATATGTTGAGCTGCTCTCTTCACCAGAAGCTATGCAAAACTGCAATTCAGTGAAAGAATCCTACTTATGCAGGGGCTCACACATCATTGGTGGCTGAGGGAACAACACGGCTTCTTTGCAATGGATTTGGGACAAGCAGTGTGCATTGAAAGGTGAACCTGACTGCTACGCAACATATCTCACGCCAACTCAGCAAAAAACATCTAGAAAGACCCATCATTAGTTGTCATTCCAGTTAAATTGGGTTGATCCCTTCAGAATCAGTGTCACAACGTCCAAATCGGTCAAACCATCATATCTCCCATGGTCAAAAGATTGCATATATTTAGATAGAGATATAGATATAGATATGGTTTTTAATGGTTTTTGTCCATCCATCCTATATTGATTATATTGGGAATCCGTACGCTGGGTATATTAATCATTATTAATCCCTATTAATGGGATTGATGACCATCTTCCAATATGAAAGCATCCTAAAAGGCGGCACCCCAAATCATCCAAGTCGTCAGACCATTGTAGTATATTGTGGTATTGAAACCCATGGTGACCTGGGGATTCCCCATTTCAAGAAACCACACTCTGGGTGTTTCTTAAAATGGGGGATCCCCAAAATCAATCAAAATCATCGGCTTTTAAGACATTTCAATGGTGCATGTTCCAATATGTTCCATCTAATATTGTCAGGCTTATACATTGCTCGCGTGTTTGTCTCCATTGTCCCCCCGGGTTTGAAACCAACAGAGTGAGATGAAGAAGCTTAGCAGGAGCAATGATGACTTGGATGACTGGGGGTACCCACCATTTTAGGAAACGCTCCAAAGGGGTGTAGAACCCATCTGTTGACCATGGCCATCCATGGCTCGATGTCTCATCTACGCCAAGCCACTCCGACTGGGCAGGCGATGACCAGGCCACGATCTCAAGGGCCCAATCCGGGCCCAAGGTCAAAACGTCTATGATGAACCACCTGGGAACCAGGTGCGGGTGAATATGATGTACATATAGAGAGGAAATGTCATGGAAATGTAGTGGACATAGAACACAGAAATAATTATATTTAATGAACATTCAATGGGAATATGATGGGGGTATATATGATGGTATGGTAGGTTAGATTTGGATTTGGTTGGAATTCCTAATGGAAATGCGATGATAGGCCACCGGAAAATTCGTACAAACTGGGAATGATAAAAAATTAGCAGTGGAACTCGGAACTGTTTCCTGTCTGGGAAGCTGAGTGATCTTTTATGGATTAAATTGATTAAATATTTGAATATAATTGAACATTTGGTGGCTGTTGTTGGCACTCGGTCCAGGAAAATTCGCAACATTGGTGAAAAGTCCTGCGACAGTGCATTGCACTGGATGATCTAGGTCGAGAGTTGAAACGGATTCTGGCAATGAATGGTGAGATTCACACCCAAAGCACCCAAAGTGGAGATCCTTCGAGGTTTGGTGGTTGATGATGGCACTGGGAGAACACATTGAAAAACTAACAAACATCGGTAGATGATGGAGTGATAGACAAAAAATCGAGGATTGACCAGGGCTCTGAAACAAGTGGCCTGGTCATCTTGCCTACAGTAGTTGCAAAATCCTTGAACCAGATCTAGGATGGGATTTTGGTCGAGGAAAACGGTATGGTCTGGTTATGATTCAGTGTATGTACGGTATGTTGATGTTTCCGGGGCCACTGATTAATGTAGGTTCGTGGAAGTACGTTGATGATGTTGATGGCAGGTTGGTGGTATGTAGATATCAGGTGTGGTGGTGCTAATTAACACGATGCCCACAACTGGACAACTGGATAGCAGAATTTTTAGGGCCGATTCTCAAAGTTTGATCACCTAATCTCCGTCGACCTAAAATCCCGCATCTATCCAAAAGCTGCGTGCCTACCAGTTTCCCATCCACTGCACAAACCAGCAAAAAAAAAATATATATATATAAATATAAATATATATACGTATGTTAATCATCATCTTCACAAATAAAATTGCTATTTTGGGAACTATAGTCCTATTTTCAAACGCACCCAAATCCCAGACCTATTGTTTAACAACTCCAAGTGGCGACTTCAAATAGTTCTTCAAGATCTCCTTGGGAGATAAGACCTCCACGCCCTCCTGTACAAAGCCTGTGGTCAATGTGGCACCTGACAAAGGCGACTTTCAGAAGCTAAAGAAAGAAACGCAGCTCCAAAGCAGGAGTGAATGTCGTTGGGTAGCGAAAGCCATGAAAGTAAGAAGTTGGGCATGTTGGGGGCGTGGCTAACTTTAGATATCCCACGTCAATTTGAAAACTGCAGTTGATTGATTGTGGTTAATTCCTCAACTTATGTGAAACGATATTCCTCCGTCCAAAGCTAAACATAAAGCTCGTAGCCGACCAAACATTTTTTACCCCATGGAACTATGGGATGATGCGTTCCTAAAAACAACGGCCAGTCCAAAATACAAAAACAGAATAAGCATCCGAGTCCCATAATCAAAGCAGGGGCATCTCCCAACCCAACTGTAAGTTGATTCCCCTTTCAGAGGGATGGATCATTGATCACAGTGAAGTCCACTTGGACATATTTGAAACGACTACTGTAGGTGACTTCCCAGCAACTTGAATGGAATTTCACCAGATCCCGGTTCCCATCTCAAATTCAAGATGCACATAAATCTACAGATAAAGTATCTAAATGTATGCCCACATTGATTCAATAAGAACAGCCAAAATTAATTTTGACTGGTCATCCCACCTTTACTGAATTCTAAGAATTCCTATGGATTCCTTCGGTTTCCAATCTTAATTCATAACTGTTGACCTGTTCCATGTGATGCACATCCCCCAATCAACAAACACACGCCATCCAACTGCAGTCAGGAGGCCAATGTTCATCGTCCAATAGAGAAGAGTCAGCCTGAGTGTCAACGCGCAATCGCTGCTGATTTGCACTGAATCAGCTGCCAGTTTTTCCGTGTTGCAAAGTGGACTGTAGATTGCCATATTGGATATGATAGATAGCATCGCTTGATTGAAAACGAGATACTCCAAAATACACTAGTTCGGGCGTCGTTTTCTCCATTGAAAAGACTAATGAGAGAAACTCAATTCCAAACCATCCCCAATATATTGCCATAAATTTGTTGGTAAAATCCATCCCCAAAGGGTCGGTTTCTTGTTGGGTTTACCACCTTAGGACCTCACTGGTTCCCGTATGGATAAATCCCGATGAGGTATCCCTATAGAATTTGGGTGTTAATTCACTATGCTTTTGGGTTTGCAAGATTCGTTGCATCTATTTAATATAGATAAATAGGTCCGACTAAAAAAATGTGGTACTTGATGGTAACATCTACTCTTCTGTATTCAATTCCACTTATAAATGAAGTTCTTGTTAAAACCCTCCATTTGTAGAGATTTTCCACTGCCACGTTTGATTTCCAGAGGGTATATCAAAATAGCATAAAGTAGACATTTTATGCAAGGTGGTGCCCTTCTTCAGTTCTGTTTGCTGGTTAACCCATGAACACTAGTCCGATATATCTACCATAAATCCCAACAGTTCTTGGAGTTATAAACCAAATGAGCCAACATAAAGTCAGCTATATCAACTATCAATCACCACCTTTTTTCCCGTAGCTAAACCAACTGATCCAACTGGCTGCACGAACTCGGGCACCTCGATGCGGGCTGCCGAGGCACCAATTGGCCACGATGCTGAACTCGCTCTCAGGCGGGTCGAAGACGTTCAGCGGAATGGCCTTGGAGAATGCCATGGGGAATCATCATTGAAAAAACTTAAAACAATTCAATAAATCGCTGGTCGTTATACGTATATATATATATATATGCATATAAATATGCATATAATTATATATATATATATATTGTATATATCTGGTTGGTGGTTTCAACCCCTCTGAAAAATATGAGTCAGTTGGGATGATTACTGTCAATATATGGAAAAATAAAACATGTTCCAAACCACCAACCTATATATATATATATATATATATGGCAACTCAATGGTGATTTGGTAAGTTGAATTCTACATGATTCCTAAACGTTCTTAAGATGCATTGATATGATGATTTGATGGTGATTTCATGAAGACAAACAATTTGGGATTTAGATGGGAATAGGGTATCTATATGACTGATTATTGTTTGTTGGATTATAGACGACAAGAACATAGGTTGGAGGATTTGATGTACAAGAGGGAAATTATCTAAGTGGAATATAAACCGATGATATATTCTGTGCTCCTATTCCAGGGTGCTGGATGTTGCTTGCCTTGCACGCAATGGACTTTGTAGAATAGGCTGTAAGTGTGCGCAGGATACACATAGAACTTGTAAAATCTCACCACCACTCCGCCAAACATCACCGTAGATACTTCTTAATTTGAAAACACATAAAAAGACTAGTTAAATATCTAGTTGGCTACTTTTCCCCGTTGTTTTTTTCAATCCATGTTCCTACACAATTACAATAAATTGGCTGGAGAAACACATGTCACTAAGGTTTCCAGAGCAAATCAATGTGCTCTATCCACTCCAGCTGCCTCTTTGCAAGGATCTGGTGCTCACCCAACCCCCGAGGCGTCAGGCCAGGCAGTCATAGGCTATGAAGAACAACCCGCCTCAAGAGCCCAGGCAATCCTGACTGCATACGACTTACC